ACCTTTACTGCCGCAGCTGAATCAGTTGGTATTTGTCATCTGAACACTGTGAGGAAAATGTTCTCAGATCTGAAAATGGTATCAAGGGGAGGATGAGCTAATGACTGTAAACCAGGTTTGAGATAACCAAAGTGCTGAGTAATGGTGAGTGCCCTGTAATTTAGGTGGAATGCGACAGAGGTGGATAGATTAATTTATTACCATTGGTGAATAGTGCCATCTTTCTCTTCTCCTGGTCATAGTACGATCTGAACATTTTTTAGAAACTTTGTATTTACATCTACTGTAGATTTCTCATTTTTAATAAGGGTATAAGAGGTACTTAGCATGTGAGTTACTTAATATTTGCTGTTTATTTTGTACGGCTTATAAAATCTTTACTGCACATACATACTGTTTTTCCTGCATAAGATGCCTGAACTCCAGCGTATTTTGTTCTAGGATGTCCTGATCATGAGACTTCTCCAAGCTGAATTAGGGGACTTGCTCCCTTTGAAATTATTCCTCTGCATAGAAACAGAGATGGCAAGAGAGAGTTATGTAGGGCCAGAGAGAATAAAGAAGTGAGAGGAACATCTGATCCAGTGATAAAAAAAAAAAGACTCCTTGTGGAAGGACTAGATTTATTTTTTATATTAAGACCAGGTCATGGAAGTCAGGAATCTTCTTTTACGAGGTGTATCACATATACAGCATAGAGATCTCAATGAAAAGAGAGAAAAGACACAATTTCTTCTGTAATCTCGTGTTGAGAAAAGCTGTGCATTTAAAATCCTCCTGATCACCTGAAAATATTGGCTTCTCTTCCCTATCACTTAGCTGTGCATATTTTCTGCCACGCAGCTGCTGAGCTTTCCATTAAATGATGCTATTGTTTATTAGGTGAGGTCTGAGTGTTCTTGCCAGGTTGGTCATTTGAGGAGATTTAGGTATAGGACCCACAGTCTGTGAAGAACGTTTAGCTCAGCCATGATCATGATATGCAACAGCATTTAAGATACTTACCAGTTTCTTGTGGTTTTTCCAGTATCAAAAAGATGAAAAGATTGCGTGGGTTTAGATGTTTTCACTTGTTTTGGCTTGTGTTTCATTTCCTAAGTTCTTTCTTAGGCCAGGTCCACAATAACTGGCACAGTAATTAAAAGCCTGTGGTAAAGCTGGCACCTGAATTTAGGTCTCGGCTGGAGTCGTGTCATGCTGAGTACCTGCATTTGGCTATATCAATCAGATCTTCAGACCTTAGGAGGCCATGGACCTTGCGCTCACCCACACAGGATATTGTGCACATGCGTGTCAGCTGCAGCCAGTCTGCTGTAACTAGTGTTGGACCTTGTGTGCACCAGCAGTGCAGGGCATAAGACCTTCCTATAGACCTCTGCCTTGTAGTGGCATGGTTATGTATGGGTAGTCAGGGAAGGTCATTTCCAACAGAGTCCTTGATAAATTTTGCTTGCCTTGCTCTTTGTTTATTAGACTTTCTAAGCCAGCTTCACAATCTCTTAGATCAGCCACAATTTTGATTAAAAAGAGAATGTTTGGTAATGTTTGACTTAAATTTCCAGCCTGGTTTAACCCTATAGCTGATGCTGAGTATCTGACTGCAGAATGGTACTATGTTCTTGTGTAGAGTGGAAGTGATGGCTGTACAGTGAAAAAAAACAGAAAACATAACCCTAACAGTGACACGAGTTGGGAGAGGAGATAGCAACTTTGGCTCTAGCATTGGCCTGTGTCTCTGGTAAATTTGGCTTTCATCAGTAAGGGGAATAATTAATACTGGTGATAATGGGTAGCTTTTCTGCATTTCTGGAGATGACTATGACTCATCTGATTTAAATAGAAAATAGAAATGCATCTTCTGGCTGGGCAACAGGTTGGCTAGCGAATTCAGGGCGAGAAACACCTGTGTTCCAGACATGAACAGTCCTGTCTCTCCGTAGCGGAGCCATCTGTGCCACAGGTTGCTTGCCAGATTTTTCTGCAGAAGGAGTTTATCTATTAGAAAGATGATTCCACAGTGCAGTGTGGATATGTGCCACTTTCAGACAATCCACGCAGGAAAGATAATGCTGCCCATTCAGTGTCAGCATCTGTTCTTTGGCATACGCTTTGAATATGATCGTTGCTAGTGACTTGCTGCTGAAATATTGGAAGCACCATCATGATTTAAATAGCATTTAAATGGCAGGGGTGTTTCTATATGCTCTCTGCTGTTTCATAGCAGCAGGTGACCATCACCAATATCTCCATTCTTCTACTGGGTAAACCGAGGTATAAACAAAGTTGGTATTTATTTCTGGCCCACAGCTTTGTGTTGTATCAATACCAAAGGCAGAAGTAGTAAAGAAGTTTTATGAATCCTGGTTTGGTATCATTTCCATTAAAATGGTTCTGTTTTCCTAAAAGTATATTACACAGATACCATACTGTTGGCATGGTCACCTAATAAATGTAGAACTGTAGAATAATACTAGATCTCTATCCCTTTTGGACCTTCCTTTGGTGAAGATTCAATATAATTGTTCCATTGTTTACATTTCAATATATATAACAAAGCCATTTGATCCTATAATCTGGTTGCTGGGACAACACACATTATACAGAATATCAACCAATAACTCCAGTGTGTTTATAAATTCAGGTCGAGTGAAATTACTTTCTTGTTTTGAAAAGGACTCTGGCGGTTCCTATCCTGTTCTGGTTCAGAGAAGAATATATGGATTTATGCTTATAGAACTTAAGTTTTTTAAAAGACTTTTATAGCCTAAGTAACTCTTCCCCCTCATTTTGAAGGTGTGTCTAGATCCTGTTTACATGTGTTCCTTGTACTTCAGTAATTCTGCCTCCAACTGGTCAGTTTTATTCAGGTTTTATTCCATTTGTCTGGATGTTGTGATTAACTCCCAGAGTGGGTGAGCCCCAGGAACTTTAGAACTAAAGTGTTAAAGTAAAAAGAAGTTATTTTTACCATTTGCATAAAACTAGGCTTATTTGTAGCAGTTCAAATAATCTTGTTGCTTCTTAAATTGGCATTTAAAGTGCCAAAAAAATTCTAACATCTCTGATTAGATTGAATTTAATTTTCCTGATTTAGATATTAAATAGAAGCTGTAATTAGTATCTGATTCTCTTATGGAACTTTATTTTTAGGGTAAGGCTGTATTTTATTCGTGTTTAAGCTATTCTCCAAGTGCTTAGTGATACTGGGATTTCAGCAACGTCTGAAGAATGGGTTGCAGTGCTGGATGCCTAAAATAGCTTAAACACTTAAAATACCATTTCTTTCCAGTTCATGGTATTTTAGAGCTCTAGACACGTGACCCAACTTGCTGATTGTGACAGTCTGACTTCCAAGACCAACCCTGTCAAATTATTTTTATGTGCTGTTCGATTATAAGCTATTACATAGCTATATCTTTATAATTTGAAGTACCTCGGTAATCCGGCAACAGAGGAGGATGGTTATTTATAATACTCCTTAGTTAGTACTGATCTCTGCTGGGGAGACAGGCAGAATGTTTTCTCATCTATGGAGGCTGAACTTTGTTTTCCTTATGCTATTGCTTGTGCCTTAAAATAAGCAGATCAAGGTGTGGATGTCTAAGCCTCAGATCTTCTTGATAGGGCTGATGGACTTCTGTGAAACTCAGAACTTCTCGGATATCTTATTTAGCCATAACCTGAAGTCAAATGCCAAAATCACCCATGTTTATTAGAATCTATATGTTGCACCCCCCTCAAATCCTCAAATGTATAGCTCAGTAAAAGAGTATTCGCTGGGCTAGGAAAAGAGGAAAGTTTGAATTTAGTTTTGGTATAGTTTTTCCAGCATAAATATTTTTACCTTAGGTATTTCCAGCTTTTCCCTCAAGGCCCATCAAATATAGACACTGGAGTACTCCTGCTAAGGTTCCCTTTGGACCATGTAGTGTTCATCTGCTGTGGCTCCTAGCCAGACTTTAGTTGCATTGATTTTATACTTTCACCTTCATAGTTCCATGTTAGATCCGCATGTGACATCTTCATAATCTTCTCAAGGGTGTATCACACAGGTTTCTCTGTCATGTTGCTGGTGCTTTGCTGGGGGTTGGGAGTTAGATAATTCTCGCCCTGCAGCCTGGACCTTCAGCCACATTTGCCTCATGTTTGCAGGAGTGACCACAGCTGAGTGCTTAAGGTAGCAACACAATGTGAGAGTACTTACCTATTTCAGTTTACAAGCAACAGTATAGTTATTACAAGATAGGTGGTGAGCACAGTCGGCATTTTGCTGATTGAGTCTTCCTTTCCAAGTCATATTTTAAGAAGGATTTACTTGGAGTGAGCTAGAAAGCTCTGCTAGAGCAGTTTGCAATGAAAGAACTTGTTAAGTTCAGCCTCCAGTGAGGGTATCGGACAAGAGCAGCCAGTACCATTGCAACTATTTGTCTGGCTTCTGTTTCTGAAGGAAATAAATAGCTGTGCAATTTAGAACCACATTAAGATTTTTTGATGAGTGAACAGTCCAAAGTTCACTTAGAAACTTTAAGCTACATAATGGATAATATAATTTTAAGTGTCTCAAAAGAAAACAATCTGCTTCCTACCTTCCTGCCCCTCGGTTACTTTTTGACAACCCTCACTCAAAGGAAGCCCTGTAAGTTACAATCCTCATAGTTTCACTACTATTTATGGATTTTAGCATGAAAATCTGTTAAGAAAAATAAGGAACAAGTGTGATGATTGAGTGACCAAATTAGGAAAGTTGTTAGAAGTATTTGTACGTTTGTTTTCTAATGGTTCATTTGAACAGTAGCTGATGAGTGGCCGTTCTTTCTCCTCTTTTAGTACTTTGAGAAATGCCATGAGCATAGCTCAAGAGCTCCAATGAATATTAAGTGAAAGCCGGTAGGGTTCAACCTGACACTGAACGAAATGCTTCTGTGACATCAACTGAACAGTTATTTGTGTCTTTTTTCCACTTAACAGCTAACAACTTGTTTCACTTCTGATTTTCCTAGATATCCGTGGAATACAAGAGTTTTTGGACAAAGTATCTCAACAGGGAATGGATGTAGCATTGCAGAAGGTAGAAAACAACATCAATAAAATGATCACAGGGCTCTTTGCCACTATGCGAATAGAAGAACTGAACCGCTACAGAGACACTCTGAGACGGGCTATTCTTGTAATGAACCCCTCAACAGCCAAATCATTCATAACAGAGGTATGTGTTTATCACCTGTAACTTCTTGTTTTATTGACCAAGACTGCAGCTGTTTGTCAAAATATTCAGTGTATTTGACTTCATAAAAACAATTAACAAAACCACCACCCACCCCCAAACCCCAACTAAATATTTAAATATTCTCTAATCCAAGATTGTCATGCAAGTATGTTTTTTCATGCCCATAAATGTGCATACAGAACAGTATAACTACATTCCACATGAGCAAAAGCATTTAGGAAATACGCAGAAGAATTAGCCCTCAAACTTCTGTTTGAAGCTCATGGATATTGTGTTGCTACTTCCTTGCTCACTGTGTCCCTCAGTAAAAAAATCTTTACAACTGACAAAAAAAATGTATTATTACTTAGATAATATGTACTTGTGAACAAAATGCGTTTACCAGATTGACATTTCATTTTTTATGTAAAATAATGTTCAATAATGGTTTGTTGTGTACCACTGAGGAGAGTAGAGTAGTAAGGTAATGAAATTTGTGAAGGATTGGATCTGAATGAAGAATTTAATACAATAGGATAAAGTTATACTTCTTTATTTAAAAAAACCAAAACTGTGAGCAATATGGGCAGAACTTTCAAAAAGCTCGTCAGGATTTAGAGATGGAAGACTTGCATATCAAATGTGACCATGACTTGTGTAATTTTTTTAAATTAATGGCATGGTTCTTTTCATGTAGCACTGTGCTGTTTCAAATGTGGTTTTTTTACATGCTTTCATGGTCTTCAGCATCAATCAATGGCTAAAAATATATTTTTCTTCTGGTCCATAGAAATACACTTTCTCTGTACAATATTTTCTCTTTGGATCTATTTGTAACTTGAATTACTTTTCTACTTTCCTATTGTCTAGATTTTCAGAAATTGAGGCTTAAAAACTAACTCTGCGTATGTAGTCTCAAGTGAATGCCTTTTAGGAACGTTAGTTGGAAAAGGGCTTTTTTGTTTCTTTTTTGATTTTTTTTTTTTTTTTTTTTTTGGCTAGGCATTCTGTTGTCCTCAAAACACATAGAGGCTTTCTAATTCTGAGTTATGAGGGTTTGTTGCTCTATCCAAATGTCTGCAGTGCCTTATAAGATGTAAACAATTTGTGGGGATGTTTTAGTTTGTTCTGCACTGTTTTTATCACCCAAATCATAAATGTTTTATTTTTCAGTAAGTGGCATTGTAAGATATTTCACATTTCAGTTTGAAAGCAGAAGGGTTCAGGGCTCCAACTACAATAACTCAGTGAGACAAAACTCCCTTATTGTTCCTAAAGTTGAACAAAAAAACCCACGGTTTCTTTGTCAATTATTTTCACACACTCGAGCATAGTAAAAAGTCATTTTCATCTTTTGAGATTGCCACATATGTGTTGTCACAGTTAAAAATTGTCAAGAAAATAAACAATTTTAGAGTTCTCACTTTGGCGTTGGCAACTCAAAGCACCAAAAAAATCCAACAAAAAAATCAACTAACCAAACCCACAATCCATATCCCCTCCAAAAAAAGCCCCAAACCAACCAACCAACAAAAAAAAAACCCCAACCACAAACCAACAATAACAGAAGACTCCCAATACTTATTCTTTCTTGGAGTCTGTAAGACTACCAGCAAAGGTAATTATCTTCTTTTGTGAGTGGGGTTCAAGGAGAGAGTCTCACATCAGGCTCTAGGTTACATGTTTTGCCAGCATAACAGCATTTCTTTGGGGTATGATGTGTGAGTGATAAAACTGACAGTTAGGAAGTACATTTGGTGCAATATTTTATTTCTGTTGTTTGGGGGGGTGTGAACTGTGCAACAACTGCACTTAAACACTCAGTGTCTGTGCAAGGAGAAGTTTGTTGGGATAGCTTTGCCAATGGACATTAAAAACTGTTATTTTGCAGTTTAACCAGCAGCTGTATAATATGTTATATAAGTTATAAAGCCAATGGATTAAGATATTCCTAAATAATTCCAGTGTGGACATGCCTATTCCAAAGATTGTGCCTTGTGCATGAGCAGTTTAATTTGGAAATTCAGTTTAACCTAGTGGATTTAGCATGTAAACATTATGAAGTAAATAAGAATCAACTGCATATGTAGACAAGCCCTTGGGTTTTTTTATGGCTTTTCTGCCCAGGAGATGCTTTTGGCTGCCTGGTTGGATTCAGCTGTCAGTCTCTATTCCCAAACCTCACATAGTCTCTGCTGCTTGGTTCCTTCTTAGACGACTGATTTGGCTGAAGCCCCTCATTGTTTGCCTGAGAAGAGGGTTCATTCACTCTGCGACAGCTGTACTAAGTGTAGGCTTGATTACTATGCAAGTAACAACTTTTCCAGGGTAAATAGTCAGACGCTGGCCTATGTAAGTAGAGAGTCTGTAAATTGGAGACTCCTTGTGGTAGAATTTATCTTTATTCTGACTCTTTGAAATTCTTATTTTTAAGAAAGAACGTTCTGGGGTTTAATTTATTTTTTTTTTTTAAAGCAACATTGCTTTGTAATGTTAGATCTCTTCTTTCTCCAGCTTTTGTATCTCTAGAGCTTGCAGAGACGAGATCTATACTTATATACTCAAGGAAATGGAGGTTAAGATGCAAATAGACGGTTCTGCCTGTGGAGATAAAAGCCCATCTTCTCTTTAACTCTTATGTATTAATTTTCCCTCTGTAGGGCATAAAAAGGCAGGAAGACTTGGGAGCTGGTATCACAGTATCTCTCTGTACCAGCAAAAGGATTCATGTAAAGAGAGAGGGGAGGGGCCAGCCGAATTTTGTAATGCTCTTCATTGCTTTAATCTGGGGATGAAGGGGCAGAAGGCAAAAAAATCTGCTGAAATAGTGACATTCAGTGGGGCTAAGGAGTGTAGAGGTACAGAGCTAGTGGAGACTGGGTCCTCTCCCCAGTTACCTTTGTGGTAGCACCTGGGAAAATCCTTTGCTGGGGATGTACTGGTGACTCGTTCAGGTTTTTTCATTAGGGTGAGATCTTTGTGTACCCTTAAATTATCACCCAGGTTTCACAGGTGTAGCAAAATATTCCCAATGAAACATTTGCGATTACTGAAAAGCATCTCAGAAACAACTACCTTGTGCAAAAATTGCCATGTTATCTGACAGCACTGGTGACTGATGGGAACTGTGTGCCGCTTGTTTGCATTTTATTTTGGGGTGGGGTTTTTCTTCTGATCTGGGATGAACTTGCAGGATGTGAGAAGCCATATAAGGGAAAGGGAAAGGGAGAAGGAATAGGATGTCCTTTCCAAGCTCAGCACAAAAGCAAAAATCCAGGATCAAGTGGCAGAAAACTAAAGGAGAAAAAATCAGTGCTTTAGCAAAGGGGCAGGGACTCTTTGGTCAAGGAAAGTCTCTATCACCATGTCAACCTTGGTGGAAGCCATTTCAAAATGACAGTAGGAAATGTTTAGGAAAGTGAAGAGAGAGAATATCCATGTGTTGAGTCTGCCTTGAGAACTTTTGTGAGAACTTTTAAAGCCAAGTGTGAGAAGGCTGGGCAGGAGGAGGAGTGAGCCAGGAAACTCAGGTAGTGATGGAGGTTCTAGGGTAAGAAAGCAACTTTGGGAAATAAGATTTTAGGAAGCAAACTGGGTGTCCTCAATGGAGCTGAAATGCCATCAGTACGTCTCTGCTTACAACTTTATTTCTGTTTAGCTAAGGAAACTATCTTATCAACTGTGTGCAGAAATAAGAATATGTTTGTCTGTTCAAAGACTCCAGGAGCTGATAACAAGACTACAAGGGAGGGACGATGCAGCTGATTCTTTTTTTTTCAATATAGAGGAAAATTATGTCAACTAGTGGAGGACTTTACACATTGAAAATCCAATAAGCCATGGGTGAAAGAACCCTAGCATCAGCCAGGGATTTTGCTGAAGTTTTGACAGGGAAGCTCAAGGAGGGCCTTGGTCTGAGAGCTGATGACATTGCCACCTCCAGCTGTCAGTTCTCCACCTGGACAGAGGGATTATCTCCCCAGCAGCACACTTGGCAGATGTGACTGTATACCTTGCTGCCCCTTGCTAGGTCCCTTCTCTTGGTTCTGTTGCAGGGGTAGTGACCTCTTACAGAAAGAGGTGAGAACACTATTCAACTGCAGCAGTGAGATTCAGCAGTTAATCTAGCAAAAATTTCAGAGCATTGGTAATGTGTATTAGCCAACAAAGCTGTCGTGGCAGCTTAACAATTTCAAGCCATCAATACAGTGAGCATTGTCAGCTCCCGACTGGAGACAGTACCACCTATCACCTCACTGTTACACTATATTCTTTGTGTAATTAAACATATTAACTTTTTATTATTCAAAGGCTCTGTTCTGCAATAAACTTGAAGTTACTGAGCCCCATAATATCAGGAGTTCAAGCATGCAAGTGATTATGCCAGAGATACTGGAAATGTTTACTGTTAAACATCTATTTAAAGTTAAGCTCACATGCATCACAGAACTGGGTTGTAATTATTTAAAATGTGTATTCAACAAAAGTAGCAGCTACCAAATCTGAGCGTTTTAGCAATAAGTCCCGTATGTTGACCTGTGTGTATGAAGACATGCTTATTGTACCAACCTTTTAAGGTATTTTTATTTGCTTATATTTATTTTCAAAGAAAAATAAAACTATATAGCTTTTAGGTATTAGTATGATCTACTACAGATGATTTTTGCCAAAGAAAAATGTATTTTTTCTACCCCAGGCTGCTGTGGGACAGTACTAAAATAACATTATCTTGGATGAAGAGAAGCTATGCTACTACTTTCACAAATAAAAGAACTCTTTATAAATGAAATGTTAAAATAGACAAGGGAAATAGAATAAAGTCTGTAAATGAAGTACTGAAGAGTTCTTGTAGTGGGCAAGCAAAAAAGAAAGAGAAAAGTGAATGTTTAGGGACCAAATGTAATTTAAAAATGCCTTACAATATTGAACTTTCACCATGTTTTTTCTAGTGGTTACTGTGAATAGAATGAGAAGTAACATTTATTCTAGGAAATGAGATT